GAATAAACGTACGTGTGATTCAATTCAAAGAAGGGTCTTTAAATATAAATAGAAGCGGTAACAATAAAATCATGCAATAAAAATGTATTTACAAATCAAAATAATCAAGCCGAATATAACAGTTGAGCAACCGTGCTAGAACCACGGAACTCGGGAATGCCTAACACCTTCTCCCGAGTTAACAGAATTCCTTATCCGGATTTCTGGTGCGCAGACTGTTAAATAGACAGAGTCATATTCTCTTCGATTCAGGGATTAAAACCGGCGACTTGGGACGCCTTAAAATTCCCAGGTGGCGACTCTGAAACAAACAAACAAATCCCGTTTCGACTGTCCTTTAATTGGAGAAAACTCCCTTGCACCCTCTCGGGTGCGGAAAAAGGAGGTGCGACACTTACTGGGTACTACCGTGGTGTACTCATACTACACTTTTGCGCATCTTTTTTAGCAGAACCAGGCACTTCGGATCGGTCTAGTTTTGAGACTTATGTTTGGTGTGGATAGAGACTTCAAGATATACCTGTTGGGTATTCGCAGACACCGAAGTCACCTTTTATTGTATTTATTTCCATTGTTTCCCTTTGTTCTGGAATAGTGATGTATTCATTATGTATAACTACTCCTAGAAAGGCTTATGACTTGTACTACAGGTTTTACAATTGTAAATTGTACAGGGATTTCTATTTCGAAATTGTCCAATGTTAGCAAATATTGTCGTTATTTCTATTAATGTTAGGCTTACATAGTTTTAGAGACTAGGTGCCATCATAACTCTTTTGGAGGGATTTTGGGTCGTGACAACAATATTATATCTTATTGCTGTATTACTAATTAGTACTATTATATATTATCTATTATTATTTTATTAGATTCTAATTCTAAATATAGAATATAAATCTTATTACTAAGCACTAACTATAACTCTTCCTATATTTTTTTATTTTTTGTTAGTCCACAACTGTTCGGCTCTATGCATCAAAGCTCAACATATAAGATGGAAAAGCTCACATCTTTTAGTCGACGTGGGACAAGTGTATAATTTCAAATTCCGACCGAAATCAATCGGAATTTTTGAAAAATTTTAATAAAAAATTATTTTCCCATTTCAGCCAATGTGGGACAAGAGCAAATTTCAAATTCCGACCAAAATCTGTCGGATATTTTGAAAAAAATTTAATAAAAAATTATTTTCCCATGGAAAATCCACTACTTCTCTTCCCATGGAATATTTATTTACTAATCTATCCATTTTATTATTTGTTTGTTTCTTTTTTTTTTATGAAAAAAAGAGTGCATTAAATAAGGATTTCATAAATCAATAAAAAAATATTTCAAGTGAATAAAATTATTATTACATTTTAATGTAAAAATATGCTTAGTTATTTTTTCTCAAATTTCATTTATAATCNTATATATATATAAGTGTCACAGCCCGAATTTTCCACCGTCGGGACCGTGATGGCGCCTAACCTTTCAGTTGCTAGGCAAGCCAACAATTAGAGATTTACATGCTAACTCTTAAACGATTCAGTAAATAACATCAATTAAATCATAACAGATTAAAGAAGTGTGAAATTTCATATTAACCCAAATATTTATACACAACTAACCAGAATCTGGTGTCACAATTCACAAACATCTAAGAGTCACTACAAATACTGGATGAAAGAAAGTACAATTATTTTCGAGTAAAAAGAAATAGTTAAATGAAATAACTGGAAGGGGACTATAGGGTCTGCGAACGCCGGCATATCTACCTTGGGTCTCCTGTGGGAATAAAGTAAGCAGCTCAACTCGGGTCAACACGATCTACTGCCGAAATCTTCACACAAAGTGCAGAGTGTATTATAAGTACAACCGACCCCATGTACTTACAAGTGTCGCGTCTAACCTCGGCGAAGTGGTGACGAAGCTAGGACGAGACACCCCTAAACAAACCTGTGCAGTTTATCAATACATAGACAATAGTAACAACAATTAAAGAAACAAAGAAAGAAGTATTGGGGAGGGGCATGCTGAGGGGATTACAAGACAAAGAACTACAACGGAACCGAGAACTTGAACAATCAATATACCTTAAACAGATAGAAACAGATAAACGCAGGAAAAGAAAGTGCACGACATCACCCTTTGTGCTTTTACTCTCAACCTTACTAGATAAGATAATAGAAAACGCCATGGCATCACCCTTCGTGCTTTTACACTCAACCTCACCAGATAAAATAATATAAACGTGCACGACATCACCCTTCGTGCTTTTACACTTGACCTCACTGATGTGCCAGAGAATTTTGGCACATTTGATACAAATTGCTTAGATTCTACCTTGTTTTAGATACAATTATCTTTTATACTTATGTAATTTTAGTGTTTTCGCAATGTATGAGGTTTAAGGACTTAAGAGCATGGAAATGAATTCAAAAAGCCACAAAAATACAAGAAAAGAGCAAAAAGGCATCGTAAATGTGGATACGCGATCACAAATCCAACACGCGAGCCGCGGAATGCACAAGGGAATCGCAAACCACAACAGATTTCTGGGCAAAGTCCAATGCAAGAAATGCGTTCCAATCTATGATCGCATAACCTGCTTGCGAGCCGCAGAATCAATCGCAAACTCGACATGAAGAGTGCTGAAGGTAGAAAATGCGATGCGAAATGCGATCGCAGATCCACAATGCGGACCAAAAAACATCATTGCGATGAAGGCCTTGAAACTAGGGTTTGAATATGCGATGGTTATGTCAAGAATGCAGACTGCATGTCTGTTATACGACAGATATGCGATTGCATATTTAACTGGAAAGGGTATTTTTGTCCAAAATTTGTCCCGAGTTTTGACAAACTATAAATAAATTTATTGGGGTTTTATGGGGGTGGCTGGTCTGATTTAGGCACTACAATACAAGGCTTTAATATTCCTCTCTTTTGGAAGCTTTTGGGTCAAAAATCTTTCACTTTGTAAATTTTATGGCATTAAATATTCTCTTCCTTTTGTCTTTTAGTATGTGTAGCTAACTTTAAATACTAAGGTTGTGGACCCTAAATCGGTATTATATTAATGGGTGGTTAACATTGAATATATGTATAATGGTTGGTTGATATTTATTCACTTCTCATTCTTCATTTATTGTTGGTGTTTGCAAACATTAACAAGTGTCATTAAATTCTTACTTTGCTTGGGAAAGTGGGTTGGAATTTGGTAGAAATGAATAATAAAGACTCAAGGCTTTAAACCTCGTTTAATAGAATTGCTTAGGAATAAGTGGGTTTTATTTGGCATATATTGATTATTCTTCATTGCAACTCTTTTATATTTGGAAAAGTCGTAAGGAGGAAATACTACCCAACTATTGAAAAATATTGAGTAGTCATTTAGAAATCATTTGCATATCAAAAGAACCTTCCATTAGAAATATATCATATTAACACTGATAGCATTACACTTCATTGAAGGGGACACAACCTTGGTTTCGTTAATCAAATTATTTACACTCTCAATATCATAATTAGTTATTTCTTCAAACCTAACTCAATTCATACTCTTGTTACTATTAACCGAATAGAATTACGACTTTAGTCAAGTAACACGCTATTTCAGTAACTTTTTCACACCTATTCCCTGTGGGATTCGACCCCAACCTTGTTGGGTTATTATATTTGACACAGACCACCTTACATTATTTAATTAAAGTGTAATTTGAGCGTATCAAATTTTGGCGCCGTTGCCGGGGAATACGGTATTGAAATTACTTATTAGTGTGTTCTTTACTCTACGTATTATTCTATTCCATCACACTTTGCTTGTTTTGCTTGGTGTTGATAGGAAAACATGGACGAATATGAAGAAGAAATGGAGGCGGAAATGGAAGAAAATCCTTTTGCGGACGTAGAGGAGTATATTGAGGATATTAATGCTATTGTACCTCCAGCCGTTGGCGCTGCAACTTTCAAAGTGGAACATCGTTTAATCTTTATGCTCAAAGCGGAGGGGTTTTTCAGGAATTCTACTGATGATGATCCGATACAACATCTTAGAAACTTCTTGGGTATGTGTGCGATGCATAAGCAGAACCACATCTCGGATGATGCTCTAAGGTTAAGGTGCTTCAAATACTCACTAGCTGGGGACGCAAGGAAATGGCTTCAAAATTTGCCACCAAACTCCATTCATTCTTGGCATGAACTTATCTGGGCATTCTTAGCTAAATGGTTCCCACAAAGTAAGAAGTCTGAGCTCCGGGATAAAATTTTCTTTTTCAAGCAGGTACGGGAGAACATCTACATGATGCATGGGATCGATTCAAGTTATATTGGTGAAGTCTCCAAACCATGGTTTTTCGAATTCTATCTTGTTGAAAAACTTCTACATGGGCTTGGATCCTATGAACCAATCTATAGCCAAGAATGCAGCTGACGAATCTTTCATGGACAAATCATTCGTATGGGTCACACAAATACTTGAAAAAATGGCGAAGCATAATCAAGCATGACACTCAGAGGACACCACAGGTGGAATTGCATATAGGTCTCCTTCCTTGACCACCATGATCAAGGAAAACCAAGAAAGGGATCAAGTGATTGTAGGGCTTGCCACAAATGTCAATGTGTTGACAAAGATGTTCACAGAAAGCCAAACGAAGAAAGTAAATTTGGTGGAAGATGTGCAACCCTTATCAAATGAGGACTTTGAGGAGGCAAACTATGTCAACAACTCTCAAGGTGGATATCAAAGGCAACAATACCAAGGTCAAGGACAACAAAATCAATGGAGGCCTTACCCACAAGGGTAAGGCAGCCAATAGTGGAGAAATGACCAAGGCGGCTCAAATCAAGGTAATTGGAACAACAACAACAACTTCCCAAATCAGAGTTCAAACCCTTATGTTCCTCCAAAGGGTCAATATTCAAATCAAGTTTCCTCAAGTGAGTCTAAGTTGGAAAGCATGCTTGAACGGGTATTGCAAAATCAAGAGAAGTCCGACACTTCTATGAGGAATATGACCAAGCTCGTTGGTTCTCATACCGCATCCATTCATAAATTGGAGATGCAAATGAGAGACTTCTATAGGGAACAAAATCTGAAGCAAAAAGGGACACTTCCAAGTGACACAATTGCGAACCCCAAGGGTAATGGGAGTGGTCCATCTTCTCATGTCATGGCAAATACCACTCGGAGTGGGAAGGTACTACAAGGAGGGAGTGAACAAGTGGTTGAAGTTGAAGAGTCCAAACATGAAGTTGAGGTTGAAGACCAAAGGGTTGTTGAAGTTGAAAAGGTTCCGGAAGAGTTGAATGTGCAACAAGAAAACCAGGGCGAGGTAAAGGAAAAGATAAACGAGACACCAAAAACTCTACCACCTATTCCTAGACCTCCTCCTCCATTCCCTCAAAGATTTTCTAGGAAGGTTGATGATAGCAAACTCGAAAAGTTCTACGACATTCTCAAGCAATTATGGGTGAATATTCCATTTGTGGAAGCATTTCAAGAGATGTCGGGTTTTGCTAAATATTTGAAATATTTGATTACCAAGAAGAGAACCACCAAAAATGAAGTGGTCAATGTGACTCACCGGGTTAATTCCATCATTGCAACATCTACCATTCATAAGAAAGAAGACCCGGGAATTTTTACCATTCCTTGTACTATTGGGGCACATGACTTTGCAAGAGCCCTTTGTGATAATGGGGCTAGCATCAACTTGATACCTCTTGCCATTTACAAGCAAGCAAGGTTGGGTATACCAAGGCCCACAAGTATGAGATTGCAAATGGACGACCGTTCCATAAAGATACCGGTGGGAATTGTTGATGATGTGCTTGTTAAAGTGGGAAAGTTTCATTTACCCGCCGATTTCTTAGTCCTTAATTGTGCGGTTGACAAAGAGATCCCTATCATTTTGGGGAGACCATTCCTAGACACAGGAAGAGCATTAATGGATTCGAAATGGAATAAGATCAATTTTGGTGTGAATGATGAAGTGGTCACATTCCAAGTAAGCAAGGGTATGAAACTACCACATGAATATGAGAGCATCTCGGTGATTGATGTTGTTGATGAAGTGGAAGATGCGGTTGAAATGAAGATGGAAGAACAATGCCTTGGTGAGGCGTTGGCATTTATTTTGGTGAACTTTGATGGTGAAGATATGGAAGGATATATGGAATCGGTAAATGCATTGGAGGGGCTTGGGTCCTATACTTATGCTCTGGTAAAGCTCTCTCTCGACTTGGAGAATGGATGCACTCCTCCCGTAACGCCTTCTATTATTGAGCCACAGCAACTAGAGTTCAAACCACTTCCACCACACTTGAGGTATAAATTTCTTGGCTCAAATGATACTTTACCGTAATTGTTTCTTCTTTGTTGAATGATGTGCAGGTAGAGCAATTGTTGGAAGTCTTGAAAGAGCATAGACAAGCTATTGGATGGACAATTGTGGACATCCGAGGGATTCCTCCCCAGAATTTGCGAACATAAGATCCAATAGGAGAGTGAGATGAAACCAACTGTGGAACATCAACGACGGTTGAATCCGTCCATACAGGAGGTGGTAAAGAAAGAAATCATCAAGTTGTTGGATGCTGGGGTAGTCTACCCCATTGCCGATAGTTCTTGGGTGAGCCCGGTACAATGTGTGCCGAAAAAGGGAGGCATGAACGTGGTTGAAAATGATAAAAATGAGCTGATCCCAACAAGAACAGTGACCGGATGGAGGGTGTGCATGGATTATCGGAAGCTCAACAGTTCCACATGCAAAGACCATTTCCCTATGCCTTTTATTGATCAAATGCTTGATCAGCTAGCGGGAAGGTCATTCTATTGCTTTCTTGATGGATATTCTGGGTACAACGAAATCAACATCGCATTGGAGGATCAAGAGAAGACAACATTCACTTTCCCTTATGGGAATTTTGCTTTTAGCCGGATGCCATTTGGTTTGTGCAATGCTCCGGCTACTTTTCAAAGATGTATGATGTCCATTTTCTCCGACATGGTGGAGGATTTTCTAGAGGTGTTCATGGACGAATTCTCAGTGGTAGGTTACTCTTTTGAGCATTGTCTTAACAATCTTAGACAAGTGCTTAAGACATGTGAAGAGACCAACCTTGTGCTCAATTGGGAGAAATGCCATTTCATGGTGGATGAAGGTATTGTATTGGGGCATAAAATTTCAAAACATGGCATAGAGGTTGATCGGGCTAAGATCGAGATTATTTCCAAGCTTCCTCCACCTACTTCTGTTAAAGGTGTTTGATGTTTCTTGGGGCATGCTGGGTTCTATAGGCGTTTCATCAAGGATTTTTCCAAGATTGCAAATCCTATGTGCAAACTCCTTGAGAAAGATGCCGAATTTGTGTTTGACGAGAAATGCCTCAAAGCCTTTGAGGAATTGAAGCAAAGGCTCACCACGACACCTATTATTGTCGCACCCGATTGGTCTCTTCCTTTCGAGCTCATGTGTAATGCCAGTGGTATAGCTATTGGAGCAATGCTTGGCCAACGTCACAAAAAGGTACAACACCCGGTCTATTATACAAGCAATACATTCAATGGAGAGAAAAGAATTACACACTGACTGAGCAAGAACTTCTTGCCATTATCTATGCCTTTGAGAAGTTCCGAGCTTATTTATTGGGATCCAAGGTGGTAGTATACACAGAACATGCTGTTCTTCGCTATCTCATGGCAAAGAAGGACGCAAAGCCTTGGTTGATTCGATGGGTCTTGTTGTTGCAAGAATTTGACTTCGAAGTCAAGGATCGCAAGGGAACTCAAAATCAAGTAGCGGATCATTTATCAAGGCTTGAAGAGGCAGGGAGGCCAAAGGGAGATCTTGAGATCAATCATGAATTCCCAGATGAACACATATTGGCACTTTCTAGCACGTTTGCTCCTTGGTATGCCAATATTGGCAACTACTTGGTTAGTTACCTTATTTCTGATGGATTGGAATCCTATCAAAAGAAGAAGTTTTTGAAAGATTGTCGGCAATACTATTGGGAAGAACCATTCTTGTTCTGTGTTTGTGCTAGCAACATCATCAGAAGGTGTGTTCCAGAAGAAGATGCTTGAATGTGCTTGAATGTGGTTACTATTGGCCATCAATTTATAATGGGAAAAAATCGAACTGCGGCTAAGGTGCTTGAATGTGGTTACTATTGGCCGTCAATTTATAATGATGCCAATCAAATGGTCAAGGCTTGTGACCAATGTCAAAGGCAAGGATCAATCTCTAAGAGGCATGAAATGCCAATGCACTTTGTGATGGAAATAGAAATCTTCGACGTGTGGGGAATTGATTTTATGGGTCCCTTTGTAAGCTCTTGTGGGATGAAGTACATCTTGGTGGTTGTATACTATGTGTCCAAATGGGTTGAAGCAATTGCCTTACCAAACAACAAGGCAAGGAGTGTGACCACATTCTTAAGGAAAAACATATTCACTCGGTTTGGCACTCCTAGGGCCATTCTTAGTAATGTTGGGTCTTATTTATGTAACAAGGCTTTCACAGGACTACGAGAGAAGTATGGCGTCAAGCATAAGGTGGCCACACCTTATCATCCCCAATCAAGTGGTCAAGTTGAAGTTTCAACCGGGAGATAAAGAGCATTCTAGCAAAGACCGTCAATGCAAACAGAACCGATTGGTCAAGGAAGCTAGATGATGCATTGTGGGAATACAACACGGCATACAGGACTCCTATTGGCACTTATCCTTATCGGTTAGTCTTCGGCAAAGCTTGTCATATACCCGTAGAACTGGAACACAAAGCCATGTGGGCTCTGAAGAGGTTGAACTTGGATGGGGCTGAAGCTGCAAATTTGAGGTTAACACAACTTAATGAAATGGAGGAATTCTGTTTCCATGCATATGAAAGTGCAGCTGTGTATAAAGAAAGGATGAAGCTCGTCCACAACAAAAAGATCTTGAAGAGGGAGTTCAAGTTAGGTGACTTGGTTTTCCTCTTTAATTCAAGGCTCAAATTGTTTCCGGGCAAGCTCAAATCAAAATGGTCCGGCCCGTTCAAGGTGGTAAATGTCTCTCTTTTTGGAGTTGTGGAACTAGAATCGGAGGATGGGCTCCGAACCTTCAAAGTGAATGGGCAGCGAGTCAAGCACAACTTGGGTACAGATGGAGAAAAACATTTGGTGGAGCAGCTGGCTCTCAAAGATTGTCCATGCTCGACCAATGAGTGAATCCAAAGGAACGCCAACTTCGTCGTGCCGCGACGTTAAATCAAGCGCTTCATGGGAGGCAAACCATGTGTGGTAACACTCTTTTTGGCCTTTGAGTTTTAATTTTTATTAGATAGATTTAATTGAGCAATTTAAAGTATGTGTTAGAGTGCAGGGGATGCAAGAGATCATAACACGAGGTAAGATTGCATGAAAAAAGGAAGAAAAATCACCTTGGGTAGTTTGCTATACATATGCGGTCACATTTTCACTATGCGGACCGCATTTTGGTCGCAAACCAACACAGTGTGTTTGGTTCAATTTGGTGGTAAAGATGCGACAAGTTGGTGCACTTTACGGACTGCATTTTCACTATGCAATCGCATAGTGCACCGCACTTTTGGCCCTCAGCTACTCTCTTGATTCCACCACATAACACTTATGCGGTCGCATACTGTGATATGTGGTGACTTATACACCGCAAATTGGTCAGGTATACCCCTCGCATCTCTTCATTCAAAACGAACAAAAAAAATTCTTTTCTTTTATTATTTCATCAGAAACAAAACAAAACGAAAAAAGGAACGAAGAAGACAAAACGACTAGTGTGTGTGATCTAATCTTCCAACTGTGCCCATAAACCCGTCACTTGTAAATTTTCCTTGTCCCAATTCCATTATTTCTAGCTTTAGTTTGTACATTTGTTCTTGTTTTTGTTTTACCTGTTGTTGCTTCATGTTTCTTTTTCTTTCCTTTTTCTTATTGATGTTTTGTAGTTAGATATCTGTTCATGATGTGATGTTAGTTAAGTAATGTATTTTGGGGTGCTGGGTAGTAAAAATTAAGACCGCAATTATTGCGGGTTGAGTTCAAATCGTTGGGAATGATAAAGTTTGCGGCTCACATAATTGAAATGTGGTCCGCATTTCTGCCGCATAAGTGAACCCTAGCTGGCTGAGGAAGATGACTAAATACGATTGCATAAGTGACTAAACACCCAGTTTAATAACATGCCTTCTACGGCCATTTTGCGATCGCATTTTCCACTTTGCGGTGGAATTTGTGATCGCATTTTGTGATTTTATTTTCTGAGCAATCAGGTATGCGATGATTATGCGAACCGTATAGTGGTTATGCGATCGTATAACCTGTCGCATTCTTAACTTTTTCTTGAGTTTTTCTGTTTTCTTTCCACTGTTGCATACCATGTCGCTCAACTATGTTGCTGTTTAGTTACTTGTTTAATTCTCGCTGTCATTCGTGTTTCCACTTATCGTTACTACTGTTTGCAATTTGATATCCTTCTGCTATTTGTATTACTCTGATAGTCCTCTCTTGTTAGATTTAAGTCATATCCTGCAGGTTATATATTCGGTAATGTCTTGACCTGGCCTCACTACTCTACCGAGGTTAGGCTTGATATTTACTGGGTACCACCGTGGTGTACTCATACTACACTTCTGCACATCGTTTTGTGCAGAACCAGGCACTTCGGATCGGGCTGGTTTTGAGACTTATGCTTGTTGTGGCTGGAGACTTCAAGATACACCTGTTGGGCGTTCGCAGGCAACGAAGTCACCTTTTATTGTATTTATTTCCATTGTTTGTCTTTGTTCTGGAATAGTGATGTATTCATTATGTATAACTACTCCTAGAAAGGCTTATAACTTGTACTACATGTTTTACGATTGTAAATTGTACAGAGATTTCTATTTCGAAATTGTCCGATGTTAGCAAATATTGTCGTTATTTCTATTAATGTTAGGCTTACCTAGTTTTAGAGACTAGGTGTCATCATGACTCCTTTGGAGGGATTTTGGGTCGTGACAACAATATAATATCTTATTACTATATTACTACTTAGTACTAGTATATATTATCTATTATTATTTTATTAGACTCTATTTCTATATATAGAATATAAATCTTATTACTAAGCACTAACTACAACTCTTCCTATATTTTTTTATTTTTTGTTAGTCCACAGTTGTTCGGCTCTATGCATCAAAGCTCAACTTATAAGATGGAAAAGCTCACATCTTTCAGTTGATGTGGGACAAGAGTATAATTTAAAATTCGATCGAAATTTTTGAAAAATTTTAATAAAATATTATTTTCCCATTTCAGCCGATGTGCGACAAGAGCATAATTTCAAATTCCGACCGAAATTGGTCAGATTTTTTGAAAATAATTTAATAAAAATTTATTTTCCATGGAAAAACCCACTACTTCTCTTCCCATGTAATATTTATTTACTAATCTATCCATTTTATTATTTGTTTTTTTCTTTCTTTTTTATGA